CAAAGGGATTTACTCAGACTACTTGGAGATTTTTGCTCCAATAGCAAAGATGACCACTATTAGAGTTTTATTATCCCTTGCAGCCAGTTACTCTTGGCCCTTGTTCCAGATGGATGTTAAAAATGCCTTCCTCAATGGAGACTTACAAGAGGAAGTCTACGTGCAGTTGCCTCCTGGATTTTATGATGCAAAAACAAGAAAGAAGGTTTGCCAGTTGAATAAAGCCTTGTATGGACTAAAACAGTCCCCCAAAGCTTGATTTGATAGATTCAGACAAGCCCTTGAAAAATTCGGCTATGTACAGGCCTAGTCAGACCATACATTGTTCATTAAGAGAGTGGACTCTTCCTTGACCTTGCTTGTTGTATATGTGGATGATATTGTAGTGACAGGGAATGATAACAGTGAGATTGAGTCTCTTAAACAACTCCTTCATCAAGAGTTTGAGGTGAAAGATCTGGGAGAGCTACGATACTTCTTGGGTATTGAGGTAGCTAGATCTAAACATGGGATTTTTGTTTCTCAAAGAAAGTATGTTCTAGATCTGTTGGAAGAAACTGGAAAGTTGAGTGATAAGCCTGCAGATACACCTATTGAACAGAATCACAAGATCAATGTAGAGGGTGGAGAGCCACTTGAAGATAAAGCTATGTTCCAATGGTTAGTTGGAAAACTCCTCTATCTTTGTCTCACATGACCGGACATCAGTTATGCGATCAGCATTGTCAGTCAGTATATGCACTCTCCTAGAACTACTCACCTACTTGCTGTTAAGAGGATATTAGCATATTTGAAGAGGTGCCCAGGTATAGGTATACTATTCAAGAATAATGATCACATGAAGATAGAGGTTTATACAGATGCTAATTGGGCTGGGAGTGTTGATGATAGAAGGTCTACCTCTGGATATTGTGCTTTTGTAGGAGGTAACCTTGTCTCTTGGAGGAGTAAGAAACAAAGTGTTGTTTCTCGTTCTAGTGCTAAAGCTGAATATAGATCCATGGCTAATGGTGTGGCTGAAATCCTATGGTTGAAATCACTATTTGAGGAGTTGGATATTGTTTATGAGAAGCCCTTAATGTTGTATTGTGATAATCAAACTGCTATTAATATAGCTCATAATCCAGTACAGCATGACAGAACTAAGCATATTGAAGTAGACCGACATTTTGTCAGAGAAAGGGTTTCATCTCAAGAAGTGTCTTCTGTATATCACCTCCAGCATGCAACTCGCAAATCTTCTCACCAAGGTTGTTCCAAGGAAGAAGTTAAGGCAGACCTATGCAAATTGGGAATGACAAATATCTATTTCCAACTTGAGGGGGAGTGTAGAGAACACTTGTGTGGACCCCACTGATGTGGTCCCCACTGTGTTCGTATGGCAGCATTATTTTTATTAGTTATGACAGTGTTAGTTGGTAGTTATTTCAGCTTCATTGGTAGTTATCTTTTATTCTATTTTCCATGTAAGCAATAAGGGCAATTCAGCCCTTTTACAATTAGTCAACATATATAAATATTAAGAGTGGGTCGGCAGATGTTATGACCTTCCCTCTCTCTTTTTTGAAGTTCTCTTCGTGTGCTTCTTCTCTTCTTCTCCTCTTCAATTTTTGCATTTGTTTTCTTTTAAATTCAAGACAGATTGTAGTCTTGATCGACTATTAACACCATAATAGAGCCAAAAATAGGTATGCCAACGCACTAGCCACCTTGGGATCTAAAATACAACCAAGTGAGAGCCTAATCACCAATAACAATTCAAATGCAATGCGAGCCATCAACAGAAAGATTGGGGCACTGGGTCGAAACAAAGGATGATGTTAAAGAAGACTGGAGATATAATATAACACAAAAATTAAGTAACCTAATGGTGACGATGCAAGATGGCAAGATCCTTCTAAGGTTCCAATGGTGATTCGGGTGTTATATCACAGAATGGTAGATGGAGTAAGAGCAAGGTGCCTAGGGCCCAAGGAAGCAGTAGTGACGACAACACTTTATAGGAGGCTGCAAAGGTTGGAATACTACTGGCCAAAGATGAAAGTAGACTCGGCCAAGATACAGAACGACTGTGAGAGATGTATACCAAAGGAAAACAAAAATGAATGCCTCACAGTGCGTGATGTGCATTGGTGAGATATGTATATAGATTACATCCAGAACAGTATCACACCAGTTGGCCCAATATTGCGAAGAAAACTTCTAACCAAAGCCAAAAGGTTTTACCTACAAGACGAAGTATTGTACAGAAAATCCTACACAGAGTAACCTCTATGTTGCCTAGCCGGTGAGGAAATAGAAGAAGCACTGAATGCAGCCCATAGCTCTGAACCAGCCCCACATCAAGGACAAAAACCACTGGCAACCCCATAAGCGATGCTATAAGCCCCAACAACCCCGGGAAGGCCCTGGCTACCCTAGTCTCCCCTTCTTTGGTGAGCTCTGTATAATATATCGCATCCTGGAGATGGGTCTTCATTCTCTCGAATGGGATGCGAGTGATTGGGATCCTGACAATGTGGTGAGCTTTGTGTAATATGTGGATAGGACCAATGTCAAACCGTGTATCAGGGGTCGCCCCAACAAGGCGTGATATGTTGTTCTTCCAAAAATCATCTGGAATTCCTGGTTGATGCAAAATGGTCCAATAGCCATCGACAACTCAATCGACCCCTCTGTGATCGATGCATTACCGTTAAAGTCAGTAACTTCCATGGGCAACCCTTTAACGGTTTCCCTCTATATGTTCATCAGTCTCAACGTGTGGAGGGAGATCAATTTTACAAAGCTTCCCTAATCAATCAATGACCGCCGCATCTCATAACCCCCTATTTTGGTTGGGATGTATAGAGGCTAATTGTGGTTAGGGTCTATGGCCAGTATGCCGTCTGGGTGAATTCTACGTGGGACTTGTCCATGCGATGAGGTTCAAGTGGCCTCTTGAACACTTCTGCTAGCGCCCTGATGGCAAGTCGTTGTGTTGCAACGCTAGCCCCTTGCTTATTGAGGAACTGCTATAAGTCTGGGCTTTGCTCGAACTGTTGGATCAGCATATCCAGACGATCGCCTCTTGATGTCCCTACTACATTGATGCTGCCCCCTTGGGGATATGCAGGGAGGGGGTTGGTTTCTACTTGTGTCGGCTTTCTCTTAACAAAGTCATCTAGTTTTTTACTTTCTACACAAACAGCCAACGAAGGGTGAAGCAGTCCATCAAGTCGTGGTTTGGTGACTAGTAGTAATTGCACCACCTCCCCCCATGCCTTTCTTTCTCTGGGTCAACTCCGAATGGTGGTGGTGGTGGTAGGCTAATTACACGATCTTCCACCAGCTTATTCATTATCACGATAACTTCACTTTTACTGCAGGAAAAAGGGGGAGGGGTGGTAATAGTGGGCCATTCTGCCGATTCTAGTCGTCGATGCGATAATAAGGCCCCTGATTAGGCCCCCTGTTGTTCCGAGGCCTACGGTAGATGGCGTATTCTTCATTCCTCGCGTATTGTAATGTTGTTGAGACTAACTGAGGTGTGGTGTTCATGACAGTGTGTGTTGTTCTTTCCGCGCACTTCCACAACTGACTGAAGGTCTCAACATCAATATTTTCAATGCCTATTCCGTAGGCCGGGTGCATTCCTTGCACGCACTGTTCAACGAAGCTTTTCTCTGTCACGTGCTCATCGAAGACTAAATGAGTTAATTTTTGGAACCTCATGACATAAGCCAGAAGGTCCTCCCTAGCACGATGCTCTATGTTGCATAGGTCTACCATCGTCAACCTCCGCTCCAAGGTGAACCATTTGGAAAGAAACATTTTTTGGCCACGAGTCTATACTCCTCGCGATCAAATTGACAAACCATGTGTACGCAGGTCCGATCAAATACTTGGAGAACTCTCTAACCTTCAAATCTCCATCCAAGGCAAACGATCCCGACGCATCCTCAAACTTGTTAACGTGCTCTTGCGGGCTTCTCTTCTACCCATCGTACTGTGGTCATTGCTACGCTGGGACATAACCAGAGGGATACGGTTTGTACAAGATGCAGTTAGAATAGGGCTTTTGGAGTACGAGTGTAGACTTGGATTTGTTGTGGCTTTCTTCCATTAGGCCCTAGACATACTCTTTCAGTTCGGTGTGGCTAATGGGCGCCTCCGTCGTCATGCTATCCTGTAGGACTACACGAAGTTGTTCAACGATGAAGAAATGGGTTCTTTGCGCCACGTCTGGTATTGGTGCGGGTTGGTTTTGGGTAGATTGTCAGTTAGGCCAGGGTTCAAGTTCACGGGGTGGTTAACAGGGACAGATACAAAAGGGCCGGCAGGTGTGAATGGGGAATGCTCAGTTGCAGATGCCCTTTGGAGTAGTTGCAAGGTGTTTCTCATCTTGGCCTGCATCTRCTCTAGCCAGTCAAAACGAGCTTCAAAGTCATATACCTTGTTGGACAGGATTTCAATGTCAACCTGTTCCGCAAACTCCTGACCAATCTGGTCCCTAACCTTTGGATTGACGTTCTCGTGTCCGTTGGACTGCTCCTCTGGGATAGGGTAAAGGTTGATCCTACAGGCGACCATCCTTCGTGATCAAGGAATAACCAGAGATTCTAATGTGAGTAGGACTCAATGCCAGGTCTCCACTACAAACAGCTTATAGACTTCACCAACAAGCTAGCTGGCACCTTCACTCATTAGTATAATAGAGTCAAATAATAAGTAAAAGGACAAAACTACTCCTAAGTCACTAAACATAAAATAACAGTATATAAATAATGAGAATCAAATTTGGTCTACTAATCATATTGAAGGTTAAGGCAAACTAGTTGGACTTGTTGAAAAATTGGTTGGATCAGGTCAGTTCAAGTTGTTTAGGAACAACTCAGGCCCAAGCCAGGGAAAACAAGCAACACAATGGAGAATTGTCAACTTTAAAAGAAAGCACTAAAATTTCATTGATCAAAGAGTTAAAAGAATTAAATAAAATACAATGAACTTAAGTATGTTACCTGTGGTACCCATTTTGGTGAAACAAAACTTGTGGCCTCAACAACAGACAATCCAGAAGATACTAGCCTTTGTATCAACTCAATTTTCACAGTCGTAGGCACCATTGACTTCTCATTTTGCAATCCATCCCTTGGGCCAACTTCAACGATCTTCACAAATTTCGGTATCCCCCTTAAAAACTGTCRTACAAAATAAATCCTTCCTTATGCAACAACATGAAGAAAAAACTAACTAAAAATTACGTCCATGTAAACAAATTCCATAAATTGCAATCAAAAACTAAATTTTAACAAAATATATGGATCATTGAAAATAAAAAAATTATTCAGCTCAGACTTAATATGTCAAAACACCTGATGCAGGGACAAGTCAAAATTGAAATTGTCTATTTCTTTTTTGCACATTTTTTTTACAATAGGGGTGTTCAAGTCATTTAATTTAAAATTCTACAGCCATTGATTACATAAATTAGGAATTATCATGGTTTCTTTTTTTTTTGAGGTAAAGTATGACAGTGGCAATTCTATAATTGTTTTTCTTAGTTCTATTAGGATTGGCTTAAGGGTGCCTGTACAATTTTTTTGGTAATAAATTAAAAAAAAAAAAAGAAAACTTTATTAATATGACAAGACAGAAATTACATGAAAAGGTGATAAGCTATCACCAAAGAAGAAAAAAGAAGCTCATCACCACCCTCCTAGACCCTCAAATAGACAAAATGTCCCCCTACAAGCCCCTCAATACAATTACCACCCAATAAATCGATTTACGCCCACCATCAAGACCCCATTCACTCCATCCAGAAAACAACCAGCTCTGCCCTGGATTAATTAATATTCATAGAATATCTCTTTTCCAATTCCATGAATATTTTACTTGCAAAATTTTCCCCTCCCAAAATGAGAAGCCCCAAAGCTTTTCTCACTTGGACCTCTGTTTCAACAATTTTTTTCCATATCAACTCTCCTCCTCTGCCTCTTCTTACATGATCTAAAACCACCACATCCCCAACCTCATGATCTTAATCATCGTTCTCTTGCATAGGGGTGTCCATACAATTGCAATACATCGATAATAAAATTTGCTTGTTGCTGCTATGGTTAGTGGTTCTAATAAGCCCTTGAGTGATTTTAGGGCTTATTAGAATCTATCAACCTATCTATCTTATCTCTGACTCTGCAAGAAGCCATTACAACCACTAACAGCCTACAAATTCATCATCAAACAAGTTCATACAAAACATCTCAAGGACAGAAACTGATCCAGGTACATTATAATCTAGTTACACCTAACTCAAAATTTCCTGTTCCAACAACTTCCATCCTTTTGTGTCAAATCAAAGCAATGCCTATGCATTAAGGCATATTTTGGGATTGCCTTTTGCTTCACCTTGGTATTTTTGTACGGGGGTATTAATGCAGGAGCTGAAGAATCAAATTTGAAATTTTCTGAATTTTTTTGTATTTCTGTATATTTGAGATAGTATGGGTATTTTCGTCATTTTGACCAGACCCATGTGAGCTTGGACTATAGCATCTTGTTCCTCTATCTTAGTAGTGCTTCTCTTTCAATTTTCAGTTTATTTGCATTAGTAGGTAGAAAGTTATTATGTTTCTTGATGCACAAGACAGTTTGTTGTATGGCGTGACTTAGAGAAATTCTAGGACCCCTTGGAGTGATTCCTTGGGATTTCTCTCTCTTTTCTATTTCTCTACCATTTCTCCTCTCTCTCTCTCTAGAGAGATTCTAGGACCCCTTGGAGGTATATATATATATATATATATATATATATATACATATACATATATATATGTATATCTTGTGATAGTTTGTTCCAGCCCTACTGCATCAGGTATATTAGACCAAAAGACAAAACTTCTCTGTATCAGCAGTTTTTGCTCTTTTGTGTCAAATCATCTTCGAACAACCTAAAAAATTAGGTGATCTCTCATCAATGTTGTCAAGTCAAGGCAAAGTCTATGCAATGAGGCTTTTCTTGTTGTATCACCCCATGTTTCAGCATGTTATCTTTTATATGGAGTGCATAACTTTTAGGTTTATTGCAGAAAAACCATATCATCTTGTATAAATAAGGATAAAATATTATAAAAGGGCATCATAATAAATCCTTTTTCAATCTAAAGATCAATAAAATGGGTTTGGGGGAGCAAGCCAAAATAATATTTGGGGTAAGCCACAAGATGAATGGAATGTAATATATCCATTATGGTAAGGGCGGGGCTTTAACAAGCAGCCTTCATCACAGTAATTACACAAGAAGCCTCCTCTACTTCTCAATCAATTTCTATAAACAAAATAGAGCAGTAAATCTTTCTATGACAAATCAGGGGTTTTATCCTTATATTTGGTTTTATTCTTTCCTTCTGATCACTCCTCTTCGACTTTTTAATTTTGATAATCCCCATTATTGTGTCTTGGCCTCTGACTTATCTAGGTTTACCCCTTGGAGCAAATCCAAAAGAGGTAGGTTTTTGGAACCCAGTAATAAAGAGCTTCTGTAGAAAGTTGGCTAGCTGGAAGAAAAGGTTTTTGTCTCTAGGTGGCATGATTAGTTTGATCAGATCAACACAGGCTAACTTACCAGTATATTACCTATCAGTCTTTAAGATTCCAGCTAGTGTTAAGCATAAAAAAAAAAAAAAAAAGATTCCAGCTAGTGTTTCTAAGCAGATAAAGATGATGATGAAGAACTTTCTGTGGGAACCAGGGGAGAAAAAGAGAGATCACAAGAGAAGTTGGGATGTTGTGTATAGATAAAAAAACAGGGGGATTGGGCTTAGGGAATTTACAAAGAAGGAAAATAGCCCTGTTAGGCAAGTGTCTTTGGAGATTGCCTCAGGATAGGGACAAACAGGGTCCAAGGTAATAGTGAGCATTCATGCTGCTAGTGTAACGCCTACGCCAAACAAAACCTCTGCTTGGAAGGCCATCAGTGCAATTTTACCTATATTACCCACTTCCGTTGGGCTCCATTTGGAAGGAGTACAAATACAAATATGTAGAGTGCAAAACCTTATATTTTGTATTATTTTGTATAGATTTGTACTGTACATATTTGTATTTGTATTCCTTCCAAACTGAGCCTTAGGTAAATTTTTGTAATGGTAATAATAGTATAAAGCTCTAGGAAAATATCTGGTTGGGGACCTCCTTCTAAAGGACCAATTTCCCTTTATCTATGCCATAAGAATGAGACAATTTCCAAGTTCAATGTTAGTTAATGGTACAGTGGTAGATTTCTTTCCAACTAAACAAGGGATAAGACAAGGAGATCCCCTTTCGCCTTGTATGTTCACACTTCTAGCAAATGTTCTGAGCAAAATTGTTTTGAGGGAAGACTCGAGAGGGCTAGTATGAGGGTGGRGAGTGGGGAGAGATGTAAATATTGCCCATTTAAACGTTTCAGTGCAGCTTTTTGTAAGGATATCAAATCTAAAGATAAATTTTGAAAAAGTTGCTTAGTTGGGATGAATATGGAGCAAGAGAAATTGGCAAATTGTGCAAATATTTTAGGTTTCAGTGTTGTGTCTTGGCCTCTGACTTATCTAGGTTTACCCCTTGGAGCAAATCCAAAAGAGGTAGGTTTTTGGAACCCAGTAATAAAGAGCTTTTCTAGAAAGTTGGCAAGCTGGAAGAAAAGGTTTTTGTTTCTAGGTGGCAGGATTACTTTGATCAAACCAATACAGGCTAATCAATTATCAAAAAAAAATCAACACAGGCTAATTTACCGGTATATTACATGTCAGTCTTTAAGATTCCAGCTAGTGTTACTCATCAAAAAAACAAAGATTCCAGCTAGTGTTTGTAAGCAGATAAAGATGATGATGAGACCTTCTGTGGGAACCAGGGGAGAAAAAGAGAGATCACAAGATAAGTTGGGATGTTGTGTATAGATAAAAAAGTAGGGGGATTGGGCTTAGGGAATTTACAAAGAAAGAAAATAGCCCTGTTAGGCAAGTGTCTTTGGAGATTGCCTCAAAATAAGGATAAATTTGGTCCAAGGTGATAGCGAACATTCATGGGCTCTTGGATAATGGATGGGATGCTGCTAGTGTAACGCCTACGCCAAACAAAACCTCTCCTTGGAAGGCCATCAGTGCAATTTAATTTTTACCTATATTCCCCACTTTCGTTAGGTACAATTTTTGTAATGGTAATAATAGTATAAAGCTCTAGGAAAACGTCTGGTTGTGGACCTCCCTCTAAAGGACCAATTTCCCTTTATCTATGTCATAAGAATGAGACAATTTCCAAGTTCCTTGTTCAATCTTCATCTTCAAATAATGTGGTCAATTGGGACTTGAGTTTCCAGAAGAGTCTCAAAGACTTTGAATTTCAGTGTGCTTAACCTATTACAAATGTTGGAGGTAGTTTCCCTTGAACCTTCTAGGCCTAATAGCCAAATTTGGATTTGTACCTCTTCTAGTTCCTTCTCTTGTGCCTCTTTCTACAAATCCTTGTTACAACCCTCCACTAGTTTTCTGCCTTCTTTTCCAGTGAAAGAGGTGTGGCGTAAACACATCCCACCAAGGGTTGTTGCTTTTTGTTGGGAAGTTATACATGGAAAGATTAAGACCCTTGATCTACTTCAAAGAAAGCGGCCAAGATGGTGTTTATCCCCTCATTGGTGTGTGTTATGCAAGGATGATGGTATGAGTTGCCTTCAACCTTTTATTTCCTATTCTTTTATTACTTATATTTGGGGTTGCTGTTTTCTTTGTTTGGGTGCAAGTGGAATCCTTCGGTTGGCCAAAAAAGAGAGGGAGATTAATGTGGAGATGTATAAGTGCTGGCTACTCTTTGGACAACTTTACAGTTTCTGTTCCGAAACTGTAAATAATGAATTTCACCCGTAGAGTCAAAAAGATACACAAGAAGCCCCCGTACAATTAGACTCTGTAGATAGGGGATATACAGCCACAAGTATACCATCCAACTATCTCACCGTATTATGTGTGTACAAAAACACTAATCAAAACAAAAAAAAGGAACTGTAAATTCTTCCTTCAAACAATTTGTAATTATCCAATCAAGAAAACATTCCCATTATCCTTTTGCTAACCTCTTCTGCTGAACCCTGCTCTCTTTCAAATATTCTAGAAACCCTTCTGCTAACCTCTTCTCTAAGAGAACCCATGATGTCCTTCAGAAAGCACAT